CGCGCCAGAACCGCCGTGGCCGCTGGCGATCCCGTGGCCGCTGGCGATCCCGTGGCCGCTGGCGATCCCGTGGCCTCCGTTGCGAGATCCTCCGCCGCCCAGGACGCCTTCGCTGCCGCCGTCGACATGTCCCCCGGCGCCTCCGCTGCTCTCATGCTCACTCCTGCCGTGGCCGCTCCCTCCGCTGGACTTCTCGCTGCTGTGGACTCCGGCAGGCAGGAAGCCAAAGCTGCCTCTCCGCCTCTTCTCGTGGAGTATTCCGCTCCCGACGAACACTCCGGAGACGATATTCCCGAGGCCTCCACTCCCTCCGAAGGCGCCGCTGATCTCACCTCCACCGAGGCCTCCACTCACTCCTCCTCCTCCAGCGCCTCCTCCACTGTATCCGCCGTCGCTCGAGTCTCCACCGGCTGCCTCTAAACCAAAGAGACTCACTCCAACTCCACCTCCACCCCCACCAAAGCCACTGATATCGCCTACAAACCCTGGACCTCCTCCTCTTCCTCCACCTCCTGGATTTCCTTCAACGAACCCACTTCCTGTTTCTCCTCCTCCTCCGCTATAGCCACTGTTGCCACGACTACTTACTCCTATTCCACCTCCTGTGCTTTCCTCAAATCCTATTCCTCCACCTCCACTCTCATCCCTCACTTCGCCGATTCCTATTCCACCATCCGCGTGATCTCCAAATACACTTGTTATTATTCCACCTGAATGACCCTCTCCAAATCCACTTTCTCTCCCCGTCCCAAAGTGACTCTCAAATTCACTCAATTCTCCTCCACTTGCGTGACCTCCTCCACTTGTTCCTTCACTCCCTCCACTGTATCCACCGTCGCTTTTCCCTCCACCAAATCCACCTCCACCTCCTACACCTCTCCCGAATCCACTTCCTCCACTCCCACCGAGGCTGCCATCTCCACTAAACCTTCTCCCTCCATCTCCTCCACCAACATTATGTCCACTGTCACCTGTGCTTCCACCAAAGCCTCTTCCACCTCCTGAACCACTTTCTATGTTGAGAGCGGCGCCCACGGTATATTCAACATTATTTCTGCCTTCAACAGATCCTACAACAATACCTCCACTTCCACCAAATTCTCTTCCACTTACTCTTTCAAATCCACCGTCAAAATCTCCACCTGAGAGACCTCCAAATTTATCCACTTCCTTTCCATGTCCGTGATTTCCTCCAAAGTCACTTCCATGGTTGTATCCACTATCGTCGCTGCTTCCACCGAATCTTCCTCCACCTACACGACTTCCACCAAATGTTCCCCCATCATCACCACTTCCACCAAATTCTTCTCCATCAGTTCCACCAAATCTTTCTCCACTTCTATCACTTCCATCAAATATTCCTCCGAGACTTCCACCAAATATTCTTCCACCTCCATCACTTCCACCAAATATTCCTCCAAGACTTCCACCAAATATTCCTCCAGTAACACCACTTCCACCAAATCCACTTTCTATTCTTTCTCCATGGGTTACTCCACTTCCCTCGTGTCTGCTTCTGCCTCCACTGTAACTTCTGTCGTTACCTCCACCTCCTCCTCCACCTGCGTGACCTCCAATTCCACTTACTTCTCCACCCGAGTGTCCGTCTCCAAATCCACTTATTTCTACTCCGCTGCTGCCGTATCCACCCTCCGCTCTACCTCTGTTATGTCTTCCACTTTCTCCACCGTCGCTGATTCCTCTGGCAAATCCACTCTCTACTTCTCCACCTTTGTGCTTCCCGAATCCACTTTCTTTTGTACTTCCTCCACCACCTCCGCTGAATCCATGACCGCTGCTGCTTCCACTAAATCCACTTTTTTCGTCCTCTCCAAATCCAAATCTCTCTATTCCACCTCGAATATCGCCCTGAAATCCACTTCTTCCACCGGGGTTTCGAATGTAATCCCCGTCCCTGCTGTCTCCACCAAATCCACCTATATCCCTGTCGTCTCCCACTAATCCATGTCCACCTGAGTGACCTCCAAATCCACCTCCACCTCTTCCACCTTCTCTGTTGCCTTGGCCATGTCCTCTTCCAAAGTCGTGGAATTCGAAATCACTTTCTCCTCTTCCACCAAAGTCTCCACTGAATCCACCGTCACTGCTGCCTCCACCGAAGCCTTCTTCTCGACTTTCATCAAATCCACTTTCCAATCCGTTGTCTCCTATGAGTCCAGCTCCTCTTCCACTCTCGAATCCACTTCCTCCTCCTTCACCGGCGTGGGGTAAGTGTACGCTTCCACTTCCTCCACTTGCGCTGTATCCGTCGAAGTTTCCTCCACCGAGTCTTCCACTTCCTCCGAATCCTCCACTTACTCCCCCTCCACCTCTTCGACTATCTACAAATCCACTTACTCCTCCTCCACTTCCACCTCCGTGACCATCATCTATAAATCCACTTATTCCACCTCCATGACCAAATCTTCCACCTCCTGCAATACCTCTTCCATTTAGGTTGTATCCACCATCGCTTTCGTCTCCACTTAGTCTTCCATCTCTTTCTCCACCTCCTCTTCCACCATGAAAGTCGCGATCAGCATCCACTTTTTGTGCAAAAATTAGTGGGGTCGCCGCCAATATCTGAAAACAAATGCACGAATTATTTCTTTTATTCTTTTCTTCTTATTATTATTTTATTATTTTTTTTTTCTTGCAATGGTTTTATTTTTGCAATTGTCCAATACAGTTATTTTACAACAGATCTAGTTTCTTTTTTTAACTATCATAGGTACCATCGCTATTATTAATATCATTACTACCACTATAATTTCTTCAGTAATAATTTAATCAATTACCATAACATTAATGAAAATAATAATGATTATGATTATGATAATAGTAATGATAATAATTGATGATAATGATAATATAATAATGATACTAATGTTAATGATAATAATGATAATGATGATAATGATAATGACAACTGTGATGGAAATACTGATATCAATTATATTAATGATAAAGATGATCATCATAATAATGATATTGATGATAAAAATTATCCGATAAAAAAACAACATTTAAAACAACATTAATGACGATGATGATGATGATGATAATGATCATAATGATAATCATGATGATATGAATAATAGTGATGAAAATATTTATATCCCTAGTAGTATTCATAAAGATGATTATCATATTATGATAGTAATGATAATGATGATAACAACAACAATGATGATAATATGATGGTAATGATTAACAATTGATACTGATGATAATGATAATGACAATAATATTGATAATGAGGATAATGATAATGACAATGATATTGATACTGATGATAATGATAATGACAATAATATTGATAATGATGATAATGATAATGACAATAATATTGATACTGATGATAATGATAATGACAATAATATTGATAATGAGGATAATGATAATGACAATGATATTAATACTGATGATGGCAATAATATTGCTACTGATGATGGCAATAATATTGATAATGATGATTAAGATAATAATGACAACAATATTGAAAATTATTATTGAAATAATTATTATGAAGAAAATGATAATGAGAAGGATAATTATAACAATAATAATGATACCAAATATAAAGATAACAATAATAATGATAATAATGGTAGTAATGATAATGGTAATAATGGAAGTCATGATAAACAAATAATAATGATGATGATTGTAATGATAATACATGATAATAATGATAATTGTAATGATAATAATAATAATGATTATAACAATAATAATAATGCCAATAGTAATAATAGTTATAATATTAATGATAATAATGATTATCATTAGTATTACTTTCATTATTATCATTATAATCTTTATAACGATAATGATTATAGAAACAGTAATAGAAATAGAAATGATAATGATGATGATAATGAGGATCATAATGATAAGAACAACAACAATGATAATGATATTAATAATGATAATAATAATAATAATAATAATAATGATAATAATAATAATAATAATAATAATAATAATAATAATAATAATAATAATAATAATAATAATAATAATAATAACAATAACAATAATTGCAATAATAATAATGATAAGGATAAGGATAAGAAAAATGATATTGATGATGATAATGATAACTACAGTTATGACAATGAATAAGTATTAGTAATGATCATTAATATAATACTAAATACATAGATATCACAATCCGTTTATGTATGGATTTCATAATTTCTGTAATCAACATTATCACTATTACCATTATTATTGTTATTGTTATTTCATCATTATCATTCTTATTATCATTATCGTTATCATTATTATATAATCATAATTGTTTATTATTATCATTGTTATCATTATCGTTATTATTATGATGAAGATTATGATTATGATTTTTATTATTATTGCTATTATTATCATTATTATTATTATTATCATTATCATTGTGATTATCATTATTATTATTATTATTGTTATTATTATTATTATTATTATTATTATTATTATTATTATTATTATTATTATTATTATTATTATTATTATTATTATTATTATTATCATTATTACTATTGTTATTATTATTATTATTATATTATTATTGTTATTATTAATATTATTATTATTGTTATTACTATCATTATCATTATTATCATTTTTACCCCAATTATCATCATTATTGCTATTATTACTATATTTACTTTTTATCATTAACATTATTATAATCATCGTTATTGTTTTTCTTATTTTTCTAAGATATTAATTATATCATTATCATTATATTATTATCATTTTTATTATTGTCATCATTATTGTTATAATCATCCTAGTTATTATTGCCATCTTTATTATCATTATCATCATAAGTTTTATCAGTACTGTTTATTATAATTGTTGTTATCATCACCATAATTATCATAATTATTATTAGTATTAGTATCATCATCACAGATATTATCATTTTCACCATTAATTTCATTCCTATAATTATCATTGTTATTGTCACTATCATTTTTGTTATCATTATTAACATTATCATTGTTATCTATTGTTTTAATTATTGTTATTATCATTATAATTATCATTATTATTTACTGTCATTATCATTATTGTTATTATTATTATCATTATTATTATTATTATTATTATTATTATCATTATCATCATCATTATTATCATTATTATTAGTACTATTATTATCATCATTATTATTATCTTTATCATTATTATTAGCACTATTGTTATCATTATTATTATTATTATTACTATTGTTATTATCAATATTATTATTACTATTGTTATTCTTATTATTGTTATTCTTATTATTTATTATTATTATTATTATTATTATTATTATTATTATTATTATTATTATTATTATTATTATTATTATTATTATTATCATCATCATCATCATTATAACAACAAAACAATAATAATAACACTGATAATGATAATGATAATGATAATAAAAACAATAACGATAATAATAATAATAACAAGGATAGTAATAATGATGATAATAAAAACAATGATGATAATAATAACAAGGATAACAATAAGATGAGGATAAAAAAGAATAACAATAATGATTATTATCATTTTTAACATTATAACTTCTCATGATAATAATTCTTTTCTTATTATTATCATTATTGTTACTGTTATCAGAATTATAATAATCATTGTTACTGTCATTATTATCGTTACTCTTCTTGATATTATTAAACTGCAATTCCATAATTATTATCATTACTATTATCATCACCATTGTTGACATCCTTACCGATATTGTTATAATAATTATCATTCCTGCTGTTATTTTTATTACACACTATCATACTTTTTTATTGTCCCTATCATTACTAATGTCATTATATGATCATAATCATTGGCAATGCTATTATTATATTAAATGTGATCATTATTAATAAGATTAACAATTATCACTATTATTATTAGAATTAGAATTACAAAAAATCCTATATATATATATATATATATAATATATATATATATATATATATATATATATATATATATATATATATATATATATATATATATATATATATATATGCGCGTGTGTGTGTGTGTGCTGTGTCTGTTGTGTGTGTGCGTGTGTGTGTTGGTTGTGTGTGTGTGTTGTTGTGTGGTGTGTGTGTGTGTGTGTGTGTGTTGTGTGTGTGTGTGGTGTGTGTGTGTGTGTGTGTGTGTGTGTGTGTGTGAATATATATATATATATATATATTATAATTATATATAATATATATATATATATATATGAATATATATATATATATATATATATATATATATATATATACATATATATATATATATATATATATTATATATATATATATATATATATATATATATATAATATATATATATATATATATAATGTGTGTGTAATATAATATATATATATATATATATATATATATATATATATATATTATATATATATATATATAGTGTTGTATATATATATATATATATATATAATATATATATATATATATATATATATATATATATATACATATATATAATCTCAGTAATGAAAATGCTGTAGATCAGTGCCATACACACCGGTCCCTTTCCTCTTACCAGCAGACGCAAAACTGCCATAGTTCTTCTCCTACTCCTCCCTTCCTTCTTCGTGAAAGACACCAAACTGCACTTCCTCTCGCCTCCAATCTTGTATTTATACGATATCCAATTTCCTTTCACATATATGACGGCATTGCTTCGTTTTTCCCTCTTTCATATTCTTTTTCTTCTTTTCTTTTTTTCTTATTCTTGTTTTTTGTCGGTTGCTGGTTTTCTCTCCGGCAAAGAGTTTATCATCGTCTTGAGAAGAGTTTGGAAAGCATATTTGAACTCTGGCAAGGGAACTCTGATACGGATTACTGAGTGTAATGGAAGGCTGTCATTTTCTAGATGAAAGCCATTGCTTTTTTATATTTTTCTATTATCTTTTTATTTACTTATTTATCTTATCAGTCGATTCATTTCAGTAATAATTTATTTCATTTCTTTTATCTGTGTGTATGATGAATTACATAATGTTGAAATGTAGTTCATTAATATCAGTATACCGTTAGGATATTTTTCATACATTTTTTCCTCATTCTATAAGTTTACAAATACAATGATTATCAAAATCTTTAGTCATTGGTAGGTTTATGCTAATGGACTGGCAGTTTCTGAATATATTTACCGTTTACATATATTTCATTTTTCTATGCATCGTCTTTTTGTTTTTGTTTTTTCTTCAATATTTCATTCGCCTCATTCCTCATCATCCATGTTTTGCCCCCTTCAATTCGAATCCCCTTTACGTAAGGAATAGGAAAGATAGACAATTGTTTTCAACTGTAACATACAAATGAAAGCACAAAGGCACAAA